GCTGGGACTTGAACTGGTACCTAAATGGGATGCTGGCACTATAGGTGGCAGCTTTATCTGTTACACTATAGCACCGGCCCCCTTATTTATTTATTTGAAAGTCAGAGTTACAGCAAGAAAGGGAGAAACAAAGATATCTTCCATCTGCTGGTTCACTCCCCAGATGAACACAATAGCTAGGACTGGACCAGGCCAAAGGCAGGAGGCTATAGGGTGGGGCTTCTTCTGGGTCTCCCACATGGGTGGCAGAGGTCCAAGCACTTGAGGCATCTTCTGCTGGTTTTCCCAGGCCATGATCAGGGAACTGGATCAGAAGTGGAGCAGCAAGCAGTGGCTTTACCTGCTACAGGGTCGACTTGCTGGACCCTGTATACTTTGTTTTTTAAATGATTTACTTATTTATTTAGAGAGAGAAAGATCTTCTATCTGCTGGTTCACTCCCCAGATGACTGTAACAATCAGCGTTGGGCCAGGCTGAAGCCAGGAGCTTCATCCAGGTCTCCCGTGTGGGTTCAGGGACCCAAACATCTGGGCCATCTTCCACTGCTTTTCTCAGGCCATTAGCAGGAAGTTGGATCAAAAGTGGAGCACCTGGGACTTGAACTGGTGTCCATATGGTATGCTGGCATCATAGGCAAAGGCTTTACCTGCATATTCACTTTTTAAAAAACATTGTATCTTCAGGATAGGGAACTACTTAAGAATATTTAATCTCCTTAGTTGCCCCTAAACTATGCTCCAGGGACAAATAGATTGCTTTCACAGTTTAGTGGGTCATAAACCAAAATTATTCTAGATAAATGCCCAGCAAGTAGTAATAATAATCATCTCTTCCATTGACCAGAATTTTTGTTTTCAAAAACACTTTTCCATTGATCATATCACTTGGTCTGAACAATTCTCAGTATCTTTCTCGCTATAATAGAAAGAAATTTTTTTTTTCTTTGCAGGGAGAATATGAGTATTAGGTATAATGACTGTACTATACCTAGGAGAGTGCTCGGTTACTAGTAGGTGTTCACTAGATAGCCACAAGGGATGCTGCTGGTGATCAACTGGTCTCTGCCTATCCCCTATCTCCTCTGTAAATTGTGCCAGACTAATAGACTTTAAGCATCTGTTCTTTGGGAATCACTGCTGTACAGGAGAACGCCTGTTGTTAGCTATCTCACTCTCTTTCTGCTCCTCTCCACAGCTTTCCAGGCTTCTTTGGAATCTACTCTCTGTCCTTCGACTTCCTCAAGTATCCAGGACAGATTGAGTAGGGCTGCACTGAGAGCTCCTTATGGAAAAGGAAAGTTTTGAGGGCTGAGCTAAGCTAGAGGGGATGATCACCCCTTCAAAAAATTATCCAAGGGGCTGGCATTGTGGTGTGTATCAGCACTGGTTCAAGTCTTGGCTGTCTGCTTCCAATCCAGCTCTCTGCAGATACACCTGGGGAAAGAAGTGGAAGATGGCCCAAGTGGGTGGGCCCCTGCCACCCATGTGGGAGATCTGGGTTTTGGGCTCCTGGCTTCAGTCTGGCCCAGCCATGGGCATTTTGGCCATTTGGAGAGTAAAACAGAAAATGGAAGATCTATTTCTCTGTCTCTCCCTCCCTCTCAGTGTCACTCTGCTTTTCAAGTAAATAATCTAAAAGTATACTGACTCAGGGAGGTGTTTCAGAACTGTGCTAGAAGAGCAAGGTAGCTAGAGGCACTTGAAAGACATAGGGAATACTGTAGAAGTGGTAGGTTTTGTGACGTCTCAACTTCAGACAAAGGTTTGAACTTTATCATAGAGTAGAAAATGAAGCTACAGGGTGGAGATAACAGCACACAAAGGAAATGGATCAAGGACAGTGAGAAGGAGCCATTGGAGATATCAATGGCATGGAAATCAAAGTGGAGAAGTTTCAAGAGAGAGGGAGCACTTAGCATTGCCAACTCCTGTAAAAGAATTGAGAAGGCAGCTGGGTTGTTACTGTGACCTTTGTAAGGATACGTGAACTCCATCCAAGTGCTGGGCTCTGTGCTAGTGGACCAAAGATAAATAAGACAACTCTTGACCTTGGGATGCTCACACCAAAATCTGTGACAATGAGAACAGGACAATGCTGCAGTGTGAAGGAGTTCAGGCTGGGACATCTGTTATCCCATTGATCACCCGGGTTAAGTATCTGTCATGGCAGACCAAGTAGGTATCCTCTTCCTGCCTCACTCCTTCATAGACACTCTCACTTGGCTAAATAGAATGACCTATCCAAGAAAAGAGAATCTTCTTTGGTCAACAGCATCAGAATTGTTAGTCTCCCTTACTGGACTTGCTAAGCCACCTGCCATGTGCTTTGCAGTGTTGTGCTCCTTTGATAGTACTGTCCCTTCTATAGACCAAACTCCAGAGACAACAGAGTATCTATTTGCAGATACATTTGATCCTTTAGGCCACAATAGCCAGTGCCTATGCTGGTGGTGGAAGGTGAAAGGGAGCCTTGCTCAAAGTGAAAAAAGGAAGAATAGAGGGAGGTAGGAGAAGGGTGGTAATTTGTCAGAAGGAGTTAGATTAAAGGACAAGCAGAGGCTAGTTTGGTAGGGATTTGTTAGGCAGAGGTAGCTGGGACAGGGAGGGGAAAGGGCAGGAAGGCATTCCCAGAGGGAGGAATAGGAAGAGCAAATATGGAGAGAAAAGCACAGGCTGGGCTCAGGAACTATGAGTAGCCCTCTGGGTTGCACCTCAAAGTCCCAACACCTGAGGGTGGGAGAGCAGGCAGGAATGGAGGCTTGCAAACATATAATGGAGTCCTAAGGGCCAGGGAAGGGAGTCTGGGCTTTCTTCTGTGGTTTGATGGCTTCTGAGAGGAACCATCTAAAGCTTTTCAAGAATTCAGGCTTGTCTGTCTCAGGCTTCTCCTTTTGGAAGACCAAGGGCCCAAAGTGGCAGCCTGACATTCAATCTCCTTTGCCATGCTTGGTAAGTCAGGGCTGTAGCTGATTTCATTGGCCTGTTTTGCATTTATTATAGTGTGGCTTTTATAGTGTGTTAATTGAAATATTTCCAACTGCCAAAAACAATTACACTCAAATTGCCTTGTCAGTTCTTTTATTGCCAGATAAATGTTTTACAGACATATTTATAGGGGGCAGGGGTAACTGGATCTCATTTTCTATTTAAGGCTGGTGGTTTGGGTTGTGATTGGCCCTCCAGTGCTCTGTTGTGGGCCGGAAAGCTGTTGGACTTTGTGATGCTTCCAACCCGTTACCTTAGGGATCAGAGGCTCTTCAAAGGAAAGTGCTTTCTGACTCATGTGGCTTAGCCTCAGAGAAGGGTTCCCATCAGTGGAAACCTTGGCAACCTGGCAGAAATCTGAATCCTGCTGCCTGCCCTATCGGCAACAATGCCAGCCCAAGCTGAGACTGAATTTTCCCTTCCCCCGGAGCCCCCTTCCTCCGTTCGGCCATTCTAGCCTCTCCTGAAGACCCTATCATGTAAGAGCCCATCTAGTCTAACTCCCTCACTTTGCATTTGGGAAACTGAAGCCCACCCCAAGATGCCACAGGTGGTCAGTGAGAGAGCAGCAAGCAGATGTGCCACGTCTCCACTAACGAGTTCCCTCTGGCTCCTTGGCTGTCCTGACCACTCCTTCAGTGCTCTAGGCCTGCTTCCTCCAAGAGCCCCTCCCTCACATCGGATCAGCCCCTGCTGCTCTCCCTGCATGCCATCATCTGCAACACCTGTTTGTCCTGTATATACACTGTGGGATTTTTTTTACTTGGTGGGACCCTACTGTCTCAGTCACCATTTTTCTCTGGCTTAGGTACATTCTGTTTTCTCCTTCTGAAAACATTCTCTTCACCTAAACAAAGCATACTGGCCCTTTGACACCCAGCTATTTCTGGAAGCCTTTCTTGCGTGCCCCAGGCTGGATAGGTGGGCCACCCCCACCCCCATTTACTCCTGTGGCACCCTGTGCACACATATCTTGTTGGCACAGCCAGCTTTTCAAGGAACCTATGCTGAGTGAGTGGGTGATGAGTACTGATCACACTCATCTCTCCTCTGCAGACCTGAGCAAACTAGAGGAGGACTGCACATTTCTTTGTCTTTGTCCCCCTGCTTAGGTTGTACCTGATGCATGGACGCTCCACAATTGTTTATCAAATTGAATTAAGCCTTGCTGCTCTTGGGAATACAAGATTTGAGCATGTTAGTATTGGCAGGTCAACATAACCAATCCTATGCTTTTTACTGACAAGAAAACTGAAGCCCAGAGAGGAAAAATACTTTTCCTAGAGTCACGAGGACTAATGGGTCTTGACAGTATTCATTCATTTATTCTGTAAGTGTTTTTTGAACACCTACTCTGTTCTGAACATTGCTGTAGAAGTCAGGGCACAGGGAATGTTCAGCCTGCAGGTTGTATAAGGCCGGTGAAATCACTGGGTCAGGCCTTGCCAAGGCAACTATAGCTGGGACTTGAAATTTGATAAATCGATAGCAGGCTAATTTTTAAATTGGTAATTTTGTGTGACCTGTGAGTGATGTTATAAATGTCCAGATGGCCCTTGACTGAAAGAAGATTCCCCACCACTGTGTGCAAACGCAGTCATATGCAGAGCAGATGAAATATCTGCTCATAAGGGGCTTATAGCAATTCCAAACATGTATTTATGCATATAACCTGCATCTGAGAGCCCATTATTGCCTGGTACAGAGCTGAGTACTTAGAATATGCTTTAAAAATATTTATTGAATTAGTTGCAAATAAGACATGCACAGTGCTCAGTTACCTGGCTGCTGTCCACGGGTTAAGTCCCAGTGCTGTGGCAACGGGGTTGCCTCAGACACAGGATCACCTTGGCCACATGAAGAAGCACATGTTGCACTGAGACTGTTTCTGAGACTTGGGAAACTCTGTATCTTTGTCTGCAAGGTCCGTGGGTGGAAACCCCCTGTAGTGCTGTGTGTGCTGCTCCCACGCCAGTTTGTTCAGAACTTACCTTGTGTTTCTGTTCCTCCTTCAGAGCATCAGTGTGGGCAGAGGCGCCAGGAAGCGGGTAAGTGCTGAGACCACCACAGTCTCTCCGCAAGATGTTAATAGCCTTTTAGTCTATTGAAATATAATATATATTTTTAGAAAATTTAAAGGAGCATAAAGAAGAACATTAAAGTGACCCTTAAACCTACGGCCTCTTAATTAACATATCCTCCCAGGTATTTTATATAAAAATTATGTGTATTTATTTTTAAATGGAATCCAATGGTATGTTATTTTATAACCTGTTTTTCACATAAAATATTTAGAGTGTGTTTCATTGCTAATTCATGCACTTTTATAGGCTCATTTAAAATTACTACATAATATATTACCATGTGTTCCTTAAGGCCATACCATAATTTGTTCAGTCATGCTCCGTTGTTGGATATTTAGATATTTCCTCTTCCTCATTATTGTGATCAATCCCATTGCAAGCTTCCATACACCTAAATCTTTGGGCACATTCTTGGTTATTTCCTTAATATAAACTCCTATGCATAGAAACTTAAGCTGGAGACTATAAAAAATTACTAGGCTTTGATAAATATTTCTAAATTGCTCTTTAAAAATATTATGCTAATTTATGGGTGCCTAGTTTCCCACTACCTCACCAGTACTGTATCTTAGTTCTTTCCTAGTTTTTCAGTTTTTTAATGAGAAAAAAATGTACTTTTTTAAAAGATTATTTATTTGAAAGGCAGAGATACAGAGAGAGAGAGAGAGAGAGAGAGAGAGAGATATCTTCCATCTACTGGTTCAGTCTCCAAATGGCCACAATAGCCAGAGCTAGGCCGATCTGAAGCCAAGAGCCAGAAGGCTTCTTCCAGATCCCCAGGGGCTCAAGCACTTGAGCCATCTTCTACTGCTTTCCCAGGCACATTAGTAGGGAGCTGGATCAGAAGTGGAGCAGCTGGGACTTGAACTGGCACCCATGTGGGATGCTGGCACTGCAGGTGGTGGCTTAATCTTCTATGCCACAGCGCCAAGTTAGTGTTTTTAATTTTGCATATCTTTAATTGCTAAGGAAGGTGACTTTTTTAAATGTCATAGGCCATTTTGGCAAGTTATTTAACTATCAGGAAAAAGTAAAACATCAAGTCCTTAAATTTTTTTGCTCTATGGACCTAATGGGACTGGGAAGCTTAAAGTAACCAAGTACAGAGAATATTGCTTTAAGAGTAACCTGACGATGCTAGATAAAATATAAATTTTGGAAAGTAAGGTATAAATTAGAGTTGAAGTAGTTTAAAGAACAGCTTGGCATTATTTCCTGATGTCTATGCAACTTTCCATTAAGTCCTACCTTTGGCAGCTGATCCTGGACATTAGCTTCTGGGCTTCATGGAAGGCGGTAGGGAAGAACCAGTTCTTCTGGTCTCACTACTGGGTTCAAAGGCCCGTCACAGTGTTCCAGCTAAGCTCTGGCACCTAGATGGAGAAGACTTCCAGCAGTGAGAACTCTGGCCTGAGCAGTTGCTTTGGATTCTCCTATGAGTGGTCTGTTGTACATTTCACAATCCATGTACAGAGGCAGAACTTGGCTTGTGGGGGATCTGAAGGAGGGAACTTTCTGTAGCACTGCTTACTTTTTCAAGTAGATCAGGCATCCCTGTCCCTCAAGTGAGGTTTTTGTCCAGGATGAAGATTCAGGGACCGAAGTAGGAGAAGGGCAAGATGAATGGAACCAGTCCAAGGCCACAGTCAGACCCCCTGACCAGCTGGAGTTGACGGACGCGGTGAGTGAGCAGTCTCTGTCCTCGTCCCTTCCACCTCCTCCAGCTTCTCTGATGTGTTCTTACCTAGCACAGAATAGAAGCCCACCTAGGACTTGGCTGTGAGATACTGGAGGGGTGGGAGTGGGGGGCTCCTTAAGCCTCAGAGAGAGTGGAAAGCACTTCATGTGTGACCCTCTGTTATTTCTCTCCCTCAGGAGTTAAAGGAGGAGTTCACCCGGATCTTGACAGCCAACAACCCACATGCACCCCAGAACATTGTGAGGTACAGTTTCAAAGTAAGTCCTCCTGGGCAAAGCCCTGAGTAACTCCTTGGAGTGCCAGCGACTTCCTACATTGCAAAAGTCTCTTGGATGTTCTAGAGATCACTTGTAAGCTGAAGTCCTTGGCTGGAATCCTAGGATTTTTACATGGAGTTTTCTAAAGATTTTTGACACTTCTTTGTGAATCTCTATTGAAGCCTTGCTGATTTCAGTGCTTTAAATGCCTTGAAGGATCCCTCTTTTCAAGAATCTTGAAATGAATCATTTGTTTAGAAAAAAATACTTTTCCAATATGTGTAAGGGATCTTCAGAGAATTCATAGAGAGTTTTTTTAAGGGCATTATGCTTAATTCCATTTTTCATTAATTTTTTGAAATACCCTTGTATGACATGTTTTTCACTGACAGAAGCTGTTAGGTCTTTTCCTCCAACATGACACCTAGGTAAAGTGCAAAACCTTCTCAGGACAAGAAGGAGCTGGTTTGCTGCCTGGGAGGAAGTCCCAGCAGGCTCCAATATTAGTGTCTCTTTGATTTATTTTAAGATTTATTTTATTTATTTGAAACACAGAGTTACAGAGAAAGGTAGAGACAGAGAAAGAGAGAAAGAGAGAGAGAGAGAGAGAGAGAGAGAGAGAGAGAGAGAGAGAGATCTTCCATCCACTGGTTCACTCCCCAAATGGCCTCAACAGCTGGAGCTGCGCCAATCCGAAGCCAGGAGCCAGGAGCCAGGAACTTCTTCCAGGTCTTCCACCTGGGTGCAGGGGCCCAAGCACTTGGGTCATCTTCCACTGCTTTCCCAGGCTCATTAGCAGGGAGCTGGATCGGGAGTGGAACAACTGGGACTCAAACCGGCGCCCATATGGGATGCCAGCGTTGCAGGCCTGGGCTTTAGCCCCCTGTGCCACGATGCTGGTCCCCTCTTTTATTTTACTTTATTTTAAGGATTTATTTGTTTGTTTGTTTGTTTATTCGTTTGTTCATTAGTTCATTCATTCAACTACAGGGAGGGGGAGATAAATTATCTTCCATCTGCTTGTTCACTGTCCAAATGCCTGCAACAGGTGGGACTGGACCAGACTAAAACCAGTTGCCAGGAACTCTGGTTCTCCCACATGAATTACAGGCACCCAAGCACTAGAGCCATCACCTGCTCCCTCCAAGTGTGTGCATTAGCAGGAAACTGGACTGGAAGCAGAGCAGCCAGGACTCAAATTAGCACTCTGATATGGGATGCTAGTGTCGCATGCAGTGACCTAACCTGCTGTGCCATAACACCAACCTCTATCAGTGTCTTTTTTTTTTTTTTAAGATTTATTGATTTATTTATTTGAAAGATACAGTTACAGAGAGACAGAGGCAGAGAGAGAGAGAGGAAAAGTGAGAGAGAGAGAGGAAGAGAGAAAGAGAGAGAAAGGTCTTCTATTCGCTGGTCCACTCCCCAGATGACCACAATGGCCAGAGCTTCGCCAATCTGAAGCCAGGATCCAGGAGCTTCTTCTGGGTCTCCTACGTGGGTGCAGAGGTCCAAGGACTTGGGCCATCTTCTGCTGTTTTTCCAGGTCATAGCAGAGGGCTGGCTCAGAAGTGGAGCAGCCGGGACTCAAACTGGCACTCATATGGGATGCCGGCACTGCAGGTGGCAGCTTTACCCACTACACCACAGCACTGACCCCTGTATCAGTGTCTTTTGACATCACGGCTAGGTAGGCAGGTGATCATGTCAGGGCCTTCCTTTAGTACATATGACATGGGTGAAGTCTCACTTGGTAGACATGTGGCATGTTTTTATAGGGGACAACACTGTTTTTAGTCATAGCACGGACAATTGCTATGGGGGGGACAGAAGAGAACTTCAGAGAACATTCTGAGCCACAGTGGAAGTGAGCCACATGTTTTTATTTCATTATTCACGTTTCCTGTGTGCCAGTGTCAGTTGTTGTGTTAGATCTTTTACATGGGACATCATAATTAATCCTCACATTTCTTTCATACTGGAACTATCATAATCTTCATCTTATGGAAACAAAGTTTAAGTTAAAGAAAACAAACTACAAAAGCCGCACAGGCCTGGCTGTGAGCAAGAGTTGAACTAATCCATCTGGCATTTCACCATTACGCCACTTCTTTAAAAAGTTTTTTGAATACATATATAATGAAAACTCATAGTACCAATTTCAAAGCATCCAGAAAACAATGAAAAATCAAAGCTACCTCCTCCCTGTTCTCTTCCCTGAAAGCAACAGTTTCTTTCCTTGTCTTACATTTAAAAAAAATTATTTATTTTCATTTTTTTTGAAAGGCAGCAAGACTGACAAAGACTTATAGAAAGAAATCTTCCGCCTGCGGCGCCGGCACACCGGGTTCTAGTCCCGGTCAGGGCGCCGGATTCTGTCCCGGTTGCCCCTCTTCCAGGCCAGCTCTCTGCTGTGGCCAGGGAGTGCAGTGGAGGATGGCCCAAGTGCCTGCTCCCTGCACCCGATGGGAGACCAGGAGAAGTAGCTGGCTCCTGCCATCGGATCAGAGCGGTGCGCTGGCCACGGCAGCCATTGGAGGGTGAACCAAAGGCAAAGGAAGACCTTTCTCTCTGTCTCTCTCTCACTGTCCACTCTGCCTGTCAAAAAATAAAAAAAATAAAAAAATAAAAAAAAAGAAAGAAATCTTCCATCTACTGGTTCACTTCCCAGATGGCTGCAACAGCTGGGGTTCGTTCAGATCAGGCCAAAGCCAGGAGCTTGGAACTCAATCTGAATCTCCCACGTGGGTGGCAGTGACCCAACCACTTAGCCATCACTGCTGCCTCCCAGGGTACCAGAATTGGAAGTGGAGCCAGTACTCAATCAGGCATTCCAATATGGGATGTAGCCATCCCAACTGGCATCTTCACAGCTGCACCAAATACCCACCCTGATTTGTTTATTTAATAGTTTTATTGAGATATAATTTAGCATACAAGTGATCCAATTAAAATATACAATTATAATGGCTTTTGGCATATTTATACATTGTGCAATTATCACCACAATATCAATTTTAGAACATTTTTACTTCCCACAAAAGAAACCCACACCTCAGGGCCTGTGTTGTGACTTAGGTTAAGTCTCCACCTGCAGTGTTGGCATCCCATACGGGCACTGGTTCAAGTCCTGGCTGTTCCACTTCTGGTCAGTCTTCCTGCTAATGCTCCTGGGAAAGCAGCAGAGGATGGCCAAAGTACTTGGGCCTCTGCACCCATATGGCAGACCCAGAAGAAGCCCCTGGCTTTGGCCTGGCCCAGCCCCAGCTGTTGTGGCCATTTAGGGAGTGAACCAGCAGACGAAAGATCTCTCTCTCCTTTTCTCTATATCTCTGCCTTTCAGATAAATAAATAAACAACTCCTTTTTAAAAAGAAAAAAGATCTGTCTCTTTCCCCCACTCTTTCTCTGCCACTCTGTCTTTCAAATAAATATATCTTTTTTTTTTTTTTTTAAGAAACAACTCTTGGTTGTTGTTCCTGAGGTATCTATTCTCTCCAGCCCTAGGCAACAACAAAACTCTTCACCTATAGATTTACCTATTCTGAACATTTCATATAATGGAACCACACAATATGTGGTTATTTGTGACAGGCTTCTTTCATTTAGTATAGTGTTTTCAATTAATTTATGTTTGGCATATATCAGAACTTCATTTCTTTTTACTGCCAAATAATATTCCATTGTATGAATACATAATTTATTTTATTTTATTTATCCATTTATCCTGTGATGCTGGCACCCCATATCGAGCTGGCTTCTCAATTTCTGATCCAGCTCCCTGCTAATCTGCCTGGGAAAGCAGTAGAAGATGACCCAAATATTTGGGCTCCTGCACCCACATGGGAGACCTGGACAGAGTTCCTGGCTCCTGGCTTTGGCCTGGCCCATCCCTGACCATTGAGGCCATTAGAGGAGTGAACCAGTGAATGAAGGGATAAAGGATCTGTGTGTGTGTGTGTGTGTGTGTGTGTGTGTCTCCCTCTCTCTGTGTAGCTCTGTGTAGCTCTTTTTTTTTTTAAGTAAATCTTTAAAATTCTTGAACATACTAATTTTTATTTAAGACCGTGTAGTCCACCCCTCCACAGAGATTGAGACAACTCAAGATGTATTTCTTGAAAGGTATACTCATGAATTTTGCTAATCATCTCCCTTGGGCAGCCTGTAAAGGTCACAGGGAAGCTGCCCTTTGACCCTCTGATATGCTGGGGTACAGTGAAGCTTCTGACACCTGAAAGAGAGTCTCTAAGACTTAGGGTGGCCGTGGAGGCATGCTACAGGCAGAGGATTGGTGCTGTTACGACAGTTTCAATGCACTCCTCTTGCCCCTCCTTTAAGCAGATGCCCTAGGCCCCAGGCTCTCAGGAATGCTTACCTTCCCCAGGCTTCCAAGGGCCTTCCAGGCCTGTCTGGACATCTCCCATAGATCTGGTTGCCATCTCTTTGGTCCTGAGAGATCCAAGAGCTTTAGGTCCTCAAAACTGCCGCTTTCCTTTGATGTGCTGGAGTGGGAAATCAGATGGTTCTGGTCCAGGCATGCCTCCCCTCCTTTCACAGAAGCAATGTTGTCTGAATTTCATTCCTAAACTGAAGAGGAAGGTTGCAGTCAACTGCTTGAGGCAGGATGAAGGTGAAATCTCAAATGACAACTCTATGGATAATGTATTCCTTTGGGAACCACCATCATCATAATAGTTACTATTTTTATTGAGTACTAATATTAAGCACTTATTGTGTGTCAGATACTGTTAATAGGTTGTTTTCATTATGTTCACAATGCCTGAAACTATCTTGAAAGTTAGATATGATTATCCTTTTATAGTTGGTGAGGAAATTAGAGCTTCGAGTGGTTAAGCCCAAAGTCATACAGGTAATAAAGGGCAAAATAACGATTTGAACCCAATTCTTTCTGTCCCACCAAAGACCACGCTGCTAACCACTGCATTGCCCCATCTCTTAGATGGGTGCATCTGAGTTGATGACAGGAAGGACTTTGTGGTGATGTTGGTTATGTGATAGTGATCCTTTCAGCCCACCTCTGCTGTAAGTTTACTCCAGTGTGCTATACCAATATAATTATTCTCTGTGTGACTTTCAAAGGATTGGGAAGAACTGTTTTAAAATCAGGAAGGGACATCTGGTCTCAAAATCAATTTTTAGCGGTTGTCAGGATGCTGATGAATGAGAAAACAGTCTAGAGGAACCTGACTATAGGCTCCATGAAAGCAAGGATTGTGTCAGCTTTTCGCTGAGCACCTAGAAAATACCCAGTATACTGTAGCTGTTCAAATGTTGTTCATTGAATAATGAATGACCAAAGTTACCTGGACTTTAAACGTATTCCTGCTTCTCATTTGCTGTGTGACCTGGACAAGTGCCAAGCCCAGAACTTACCTGGATCTCTGTGATTTTCTTGTATGTAACAGGGGGATGGGAGATTTGTTTCTCTCCGAGGGTCTATCCAGCCTTTACATCCACTAAGTACAGTGGACAAGGGGCCAGCCCACTCCCAGGTGTGATTGATGACTGTGTCTGTCTAACCCAGTCTCTGGTGAGAGAGGTGAATGGGGTTCCTTGGCATGGATAGAGGAGACAGGGTAATAGGTAAACCTGGAATTGATTTGTGTTGGAAGGGGAAGGTATTTTAAAATAAATCTTTGATAAGAATGTTACAAAATGTTTGGTTTCTTTTTCCTTCTTTAAACTGAAATAATGTGGGGGCTGGTGACGTGCCACGTGGATAAAGCCACTGCTTGTCACCAGCATCCCATATCCAACTACTGGTTTAAGTCCAAGCTACTCGGCTTCCTATCTGGTTCCAGCTAATATGTTTGGTATGGCAACACATTATGGCCCAAGCACCTGGCTCCCTGACACTGTGGGAGACCAGGATGGAAGTCCTGGCTTCAGGCTTTAACCTGGCCCAGACCTAGCTGTTATGGCCTTTTGAGGAGTGAACCAATGAATAAAAAGATATCTATCTCTGGGCTGGCACTGTGGCGCAGCAGGTTAAAGCCCCAGCCTGCAGCGCCAGAATCCCCTAAGGGTGCCGGTACAAGTCCCAGCTGCTCCTCTTCCGACCAAGCTCTCTGCTATGGCCTAGGAAAGCAGTAGAAGATGGCCCAACTCCTTGGGCCCCTGCACCTGCGTGGGAGACCTGAAAGAAGCTCCTAGCTCCTGTCTTTGGATCTGTTCAGCTCTAGCCGTTGTGGTCATTTAGGGAGTGAACCAGCAGAATGGAGGCGGAATGAAGGATCTCTCTCTGTCTCTGTCTGTCTCCCTCTCTCTCTGGTTCTACTTCTCTCTGTAACTCCTCTTTCAAAATAAATAAAATAATTTTTTTATTTGTTTAGAGAGACAGAGAGAAAGATCTTCCTTTCCGTTGGTTCACCCCCCAAATGGCCGCTACAGCTGGCGAACTGCGCCAATCCAAAGCCAGGAGCCAGGTGCTTCCTCCTGGTCTCCCATGTGGGTGCAGGACCCAAGCACTTGGGCCATCATCCACTGCCTTCCCAGGCCACAGCAGAGAGCTGGACTGGAAGAGGAGCAACCGGGACAGAATCCGGTGCCCCAACCGGGACTAGAACCTGGTGTCCCAGCACCACAGGTGGAGGATTAGCCAAGTGAGCTGCCTTTCAAATAGATAAATAAGTATATCTTTAAAAATAAAATAAAACAAACCGAAATACAGTGAAAATTTCAATTTAGCTGAGAATTTGACCAATTATATTTCCTGTATAACCAGGGTAGACTGTCTTTGGCCTAACAGAATGAAGGCAAACTACAGTCAGTCTCCAGACCTGGTCTGACTCAGCCCCCTTTTTTCTTAGGAAGGCACATATAAGCTTATTGGCTTTGTGAATCAACTGGCAGTTCACTTCAGCCAGGTTGGGAACCTGATCCCCAAAGACTCGGATGAAGGGCGACGGCAGCGCTACCGTGCTGAGCGGGTGGCAGGTAGGAATCTGGGCCAGTCTGAGGATGTAGCCTTGAGCCTGGTCCTCTTTCTCTGTTCCCTGGAAGGAGTATATCTCTTAACCAGCACTCTGAAGAGCCTCTACTGATATAAAGTCCAATAGCTGCTATCCTAAATAGCTCTGACTAAGGAGAACCCCAGGACAAGCAGGATCTGAAAGGCAGGAATCAGAGCCCTCCCTAGCCCTCCCTGCTAGGGCTTGGAGAAGCAGGCCTGGATTTTGAGCTCATTGGCAATGTCCTATCAAGGTTCTCTGGAGTCTGCCAAGGTGACGCTATCAGAAACGGAAAACCTTGAAGAAGAAGAAGAGCCCAAAGAGGCTGAGGTTGAAGCTGGAAGCCAAACAGATGTGCCTGCAGCTGAGGTATAGATGTGTTTACTCCCCATCCCTCCCCATCCAGCTCAAACTGTGGGTGGAGGCTTTGGGGTGACTCAAGGTGACATGAAGGAGGCTAATGGCAAGGAGTTAGAGGTTGCTGGTGCCAAGGTACCAAGCGGCACCAATCTCTCCCACCTTCATCCTCTCCCAGGATGTGACTCCTTCCCCATCCAGTCCCAATTCCCCACTACCTCCTTCTCACAGCTGAGTCCTGGTTCTCTGTCTTTTTATTTATAGGCAGTTGAAAAAGTGACTGAAGAACTGATGACTACTAAGCAACCCAAGGAGCGAAAACTCACTAACCAGTTCAACTTCAGTGAGAGAGCCTCGCAGACCTTCAACAACCCTCTCCGGGTAGAGCAGCCCCCACCCCAGCCTCTTTACCTCGCATACCCCAGTCTGTAGTAGGGATAGGGAAGATGCCACAGTTGTTCTCTCCAAGGAGATCTGGGAGCATGCATTTAGATTCCTGTAAGCCATCCAGGAGGCATTTCAGAAGGAGTGACAAGGAGGTTAGAGTCCCCAAGACTCCACTGGGAGGCTGAAACTTGACCTGAGCCTTGAAGACAGGGTAGAATTTGAGTCCTGGAGAAACGAGAGGAAGCCACAATATGCCATAATGTTGGGGAGGGGGACAAGTTCGACTGAAGCTGGTGGTCTCTGGTAGACCAGCTGGAAAAGGCTAGAAAGTTTCCCTGACTCCTAAGTATGAAAGATCCTGAGAATAAGGCCAAGGGAGCCTCTCAGGGTTTTAGGTGAGAGACTAACACACACAAGGACAGCGTTCTACAGAAATGATTCTGCTGCAAGAGAGTAAGTTCTACAGGGTGAGTTTTTGGTAGTGGCTCATCCCTATAGTCTCTAGGCTGATATTCGGTCGTAATCTGGCTATACACAGCGGGGAAGGAGTGCACTGCCCTGGTGGTGCCAGAGACCTCAGCATTGGAGAGACGCCTTCTCAGGGTGAAGGGCATTAGCTCAATGGCCTACCAGAGGCTGACCTCTATGCTCTGCATCTGGAGGCTGGTATGGGCCTGGCTTCTTATAGATCTGCACAATCAGGCTTTGCTTCTCCCACTTTCTAGATTAGGCTTCTCCTGGAAGTCAGAATGAAAAGATTGTGGACTTTGAATGTGTCATTTGGTCCTTTGCCCAGGTCCCTCTTTACTTCCCCAACTCTGTCCCACCCCTCCCTCAGCTCCACCAAAATACTTCTCCCAAGGATGTACTGTTGGGTTAAGCGAGAAGGAATTGAGGGCTTTCTGTGGGTTTCCTGATGCCATTGTTCTCTAGAATCGTGAATGCCAGATGGAGCCTCCTCCTAGGACAAATTTTTCAGCTACAGCCAATCAGGTAAGATCCTGGGCCAGCCGGAAACCTGTCAGTGCATCTCCCCCCAACACCCAACACCACCAGTGCCATCTTGCCACACTCAGCAGCACAGGAGATGGGCCTGGTCAAGCATTCCTTTGGCAGTCTGCTCTCCTCATCTATCCACCTCCCTGCTCATTGTCCTGCTCGTCTAGTCTTTGAACACCACGCCCATGAGACAACAGGGCCCTACCCAGTGAGCTCTGGCCTGCCACATGCCCCCACAGCAAGGCCATACAAGCTGGAAACAGCTTCCTCCAGGACCTGAGAAGAACTTCGTACCCTTGTATTCTTTGGGTCCTGTGTCTGACTTTGAAGTGTTAGCACTCTGACTCTGCCCTCCCAGAAGTCTTCAGTGTTCCTGTAGACCTTCCTCCCTCCTCATGAAGTCCCCTTAGATGGCCATGCTGATTTGGGCAGGATATGATACCAGGAAACCTGAGCTCAGATCCAGCTCTGCTGTTTCTATTACAAGATCTTGAGAAAATCTTTTCACCTTTAAGGCCTCTGCTTCTTTCCCTGTCAAGAGAAGATGGCAAACTACCTCACAGGTTGTTGGAGGGCTCTGAATGAGATAAAGTGGTACTTTTCAGTGGGAAGCCCTGGCCTGCAGTGAATTGTTGAAAGTAAGGTGTGCCTATCTGGCCTCCAGGTGGCAGTGACTGCCCAGCTCTGGGGAGTGTACAGTGAGATCTGGGGCATTTTCCCAGCCTTAAAACCTTGCTGCTTCCTCTGCTGCTATCCTGGGGCTTCTCTTGCCTTTTGTGGGCATTCCCTTAACTTTTGTTTATCTCCCTTTAGTGCTAAAGCATGGTCAGTGCTGTAGATAGGCAGTCTGATCCAGTATATTCTATTTCCATAAGGAAAGACTTTTTAAAATTTCCTAATTCAGGATTTTACAAGTCAGAAGCAAAAATGTGAGTTAGCCTGGTACTTGCCCATTTGTTCTGTCTGGTAGAGATTTCAGGCTAGAACAATGTTGTCTCCAGCTAAAGACCCAACCCCTGAGCCTCAGGGTAAATAAGCCCAGCCCAGAGGTGCCCACTGAGCTCCTTTGTTTCTGTTCCAGAGATGATAGCTAGCAGGGGAAACAGACATTGAACACATGGTAACAATGGGGAAACAGGATGCTATGGAGGCTTGTGCCAGTGGTTAACATGACCAACTTCTCAAGCCCCAAAGGCAGAAGAGGAGCTGGCTGGGTGAGGATTGTGCCCTGTGATGATCCTGTTCATCTGATGTTTACCTAGTGGGAGATCTACGATGCCTACATGGAAGAGCTTGAGAAGCAGGAAAAGACCAAAGAGAAAGAGAAGACAAAGACTCCAGTGGCTAAAAAGACAGAGAAGATGGCCATGAGGAAGCTGACATCCATGGAGTCCCAGGTCTGGTGAGGTTCCCAAAGCTCTGTCACAGAATGAGTAGATAGAAGCCTAACTTTTCAGGAAGGTATCACAGATACTTAAAAGGGAGGCTAATGTTGAGGTATAAATAATCCTTTCCTTGGGAGGAAATGTGAAGAGAGCTATGAGGCAGCTGTAACTGCCTCTAACATTGTATACTTCCTCTCAATTTCATATAGATCTGGAGGCTAGCAGGGATTTGAGGCTTTTGGGTTAGGGAGTAACAGAGACATGATAACCTTATTGAAAGCACTACATGCATCCCATTTGTTCTGTCTGGTGGGGTTACAGAAGAGCTGGGTGGGGGAATCTACATAGGGTGGGAGTAGGATGTGAAGATAAGGCACAACTTCTCTGGGCAAGGATTCAGGGATCTTGGGACGGATGAGAGGCTCTTCTACTTTCAGGCCTTGGATTTACCTCTGCCTGAGAATTCAGGGCCAGGTTAGAGATGATTACAGGTACCATCAATACCAGACCAATAGATGTGCCCTTCTGGGATGGGTTTTCAATGAATATCCATGTAGGAGTCATTATAAAGCTCATGATTAGTGGGTTCACTGGAGGTGTAGGTAGCATAGGTTGGGTGATCATCATGGGAGTTAAGTGATGCAATTGTAAGGAGTCACTGTAGGGAGGGTGGGTCACCACAGGGAAGTGATGAAGGACATTTGTCTTTTTGACAGAGAGAAATCTGGGTCAAGAGCCAGACTCCCAGTGTGAAAATCAGAAAGAGATTGACTTGCAATGGGGTGGGAGGGACGAGGTCCACAAGAAGCTGGGGGCTGGTTTCAGCACCTTGGAGAGCTCCTGTGGCTGCTTACAGGAAAATGGTACTATTCTACTCCAGGATAGAAACCGGATCAATTAAAGGGAATTCTGCTTTCTTTCTTTTTAAATATTTATTTGAGAGACAAGGTGGAAGAATGAGATGCAGACAGATAGACAGAAAGCTTCCATCTGCTGTTGCTCCCACAACGACCAGGGCTAGGTCAGGCCCAGCAACTCACAGGTCTCCCACTAGGGGTACCCATCTACTTGAGCTGCCTCCCAGGGGGATGCATTAGCAAGAAGCTGCAATAGAAAGCAGAACTGGGATTTGAAACCAGGCACTCTGATATGGGATGTGTGCATCCCAACTGGCATCTTAACCACAAGGCCAAATCTCAACCCTCTTGTTTTCTTCGTCTGAAGTATGTCCACTTCCACTGAATTCTCTGTTCCAGGACCCTAATAATATCACATTTTAGAGGTTTGAGGGTCCCCTGCTCTGGCTCAGCAGGAGCTGTCCTAATTCTGTTTCCCTCAGTAACTGAGCAGGCACCAAGTGTTCATTGCCATCCTGGGTACTGGAACTCTGAAGTGAAAGACGGCCTCTGGACTATTTAGGAGCTCTGAGTATTGTGATTTTAATTCTCCAATGAACTTTCTCTTTGGTCAGGTTTCTGAGATAAACTTGGAGTCAGTTCAAGGCGTGGCAAATGCCCTCAAAAGGTCATTCCCTAGATGTGACGTTATTACACTTCCACCTCGCTGCTCTGCATGTTCCCTCTGACACCACTGGGGGCTGGGTTAAATACGGGCATGTGCATTATTACATTTAATCCTCACAGTGACCCTGTGAGGCAGACACCACCATTCATCCCCTCATTTTCATGAGGATTCTAAGACTCAGAGGAGTTAAGTAGCTTGTTCAAGGTTGCCACCTGGCTCCTAATCAGTGAGATGGGATAGAGATACATGTCTGTGTGCCTCTTTTCACCACTTCCTGACAATGCCATTCCTGGCCTGTATCCCTGGACCCTTCTTGGGGCTTCCCACTCAGCTATTTTATGGCTAGCACCTGCCCAAAACTCTGCAGGCGTTTCTTGCTAGCCCCTAACTCCTTGCCCCTTGATTTACCCACCATGTGGTTCACTTTGTGGATCTGTGGAATTTCACAAAATAATAATACTGATTTTTGGTTCAAAATGAGTGATTTTTTTCCCATGATGTGAAACCTCTTGCATTCTCTTTGGTTTGGGAAGTGGGCAGGGTCCTGTGGTTGGGAATCTCAATTCTGTCTCACACTCCATGTGTACAAGCATATGTCTTCTTCTTTGGGCCTCTGTGTCTTCCTTTATCTTTGACTAAGTAAAAGGGGGTGTTGTACTGGGAGATCTATGAGGCCTTAATCCTCAAGCGGGTAAAGCCTCTCTATCCTCACCAATGAAGCCTCCAATCTGTCCTCATCTGCTCTCCCCTCCAATCCTCTTCAGCACCAGTCTTGTGCTCAGACACACCTTCTCCCAAATAAGCTCAGAATGAAAGAGCAGCAAGTAAACTCTACCCAGGCACCAAGTACGTCAGCTTGGATCCCATGTGACACGTGGCGGGTAGGGTTTCTGGAAGGCAGTGGAGAGGAGGATCTGTGCCTTGAGACGTGTAGAAATACCTTTACGGAACTCTCTGGGGTTGGCACTGTCAGGAAAGCATTGTTAAATCAACTGCAGGCCTGGACTGTGGCTCAGGGCATGTGGTCCTCTGAGGTCCTGTGGCTTCTGTTTCCCCACAGACAGATGACATCACCAAAGTGTCCCAGGCTGCTAAAATTGTGGAGCGGATGGTCAATCAGAATACATATGATGACATCGCTCAAGGTAAGATTTGAGGTACATTGCCTATATTAAACATCCCTCAAGAAAGATTGGTATCTGAATGTCTCATGCTAAGTCCTAGAAGTCCAAGGGGAGAAAAATGATCTTCCCTTTCTCTGGATGTCACTGGGGAGATGGGAGTTGTGAACAATGGCATAAGAAACACTGGGTGTAGCAAAAAGACACCCGAGCATTAGTGATCCATAGTCGTCTTCCCAGCAATCCTGGGAAGGAAGCAGAGCATAAATGACTACCTCTGCCCTACACATGAGGCTGCTAAGACCGAGGCCTCTTGTCCACCTGACTGGTGAGTGGCAGAGATAACCCAGATCTAGGGCGTGAGCTTCTTTATTCTGTGCTCTGCTCAGTCAGGCTTGGGGTGCTATAAATGCAAGAATGTGTAGGACAGACAGAAACTACTCTGGGGATGCTTAAGAAGAGAAGGAAAAAGAGAGATGAGGGTGAGCAGTCAAGGAAGGTTTCTGGACCCTAGATGACCAGGGATGAGGAGAGTAGGAGCAGCAGGATAGCAGAGGGAGGGCACTCTGGCCAGGGGACAGCACTATCAGTGAGCCCGTGGTGGAAATGAATAGGAATGGGCTCTGGGGACAAGGAGCAGCAGGCTCCCTGACCCAGGCCAGGGCTTTGTTGGAAAGTGGTGAGAGTTCAGGCTAGAGAAGTGGTTGGCGCCAGTTAATGAAGGGCCTTGAATATCATGCAGGGAATCAGTTTTCTCTGCAGAGTTCAGAGATACCAAAGGCTTCCAGAGCAGGGACACTGCTCCATGAGAGCGGGGTTGGAGGAGGATGTGATTTGGGGAAAATACAGGACAGAGGTCAAAGTGAGGTTTGGCTGCAGGGTGGAATGGGCCTTGCTGTACCTGACTCTGCCTGCATCCCGAAGGATGAAGAAAAAGGAGCAGTTAAAATAAGGAAAAACAAGCACCAGCATTCACTGGGAATGGCCTATGTGCCAAGCATTTTATTTCTTCTCGACAGCCACACCGTGAGGTGAATATCATTATTATCTTCATTTCATAGTTGAGAAACTCAGGCTGAGATGTTGCTGCTTGTTCAAAACCACAGCCCGCGGGAGATGTGAGTGGTGGAACCAGACTTGAACGCAGGCCCCTTGGATCCACAGCCTAAGCACTTCACCACCAGACTGCAAAGCCACTGAGCTGGAAGAGACATTTCAAACGTGTTCAAATGAACACACTTGATAATAGATCTATCCTGCTGATTAATTAGTGATGAGGTGAAGAAAGAGATTGATTCAGAGATGCTTAAATCTGGGGGCCTGGGAAATTCTAGTGTCTTTGACAGTGCCAGGGAAACAGAATCCTTCCCATGGCATGAACAGCACATTCCCAAGTGGCTTGTATTTCCCTAAGAGGTTGTGTATTTATTTGGAGCAGCTGCCTCCCCAGAGTTGGCAGCTCCTTGCTGCTGGCTGGTCTCCTTTGCTGACAGCCTAGGGCTCTTCTTGGTTACTTGATGCTCATTGCTCACCCATGGGACATAGAAACCAGGGCTGCCAAGACCAGCAGCCCAAACAAGCCCCCTCGTTATCATTCAGGCTGGAAAACGACCTTGAGTGCTTTTCAAAGCTGTCAAAGTACACAGCAGCTGTGAATGAATTTGTCACTCACACAGCTTGGCTTCCTGAAACCCAGCTTCTGCAAGTGGCCCACCAAAGGGCTGCAAACCTGATTAATATCCACAGAGAAAATGGCCTTGGTGAACCATTTTCATTTGTAAGAAACGCAGTCACATGAAAAGTGCATTGAACTTTGATTTTTTTAATTGCTTACTCTTTTCCCTTTGGGGAAGCATAATCATGAAGGGGAAGGGAACGTGGAGAAGTGTTACCAATTAATCTCCTCTCTGAAATGAGGCATTTTCAAAGAACACCCCAGCTCGGGCATCTCTGATGTGATCAAGGCTTATGCCTCTCTGTTTGAATCTTTTTTTGTCCTGAGACATTTTTGGGGTTTGCATGTAGCCTCACAAGTTCAAGGTGTGGGGCATTGTGAGAGAGGCTGGGGAAATGCCTGGGCCTGCCTTTGACCATGTTGGATGAGAAGATTCATTTTCTAATTGGTTACTCTCGGTTGGAAAGACCGCCAAGAACCGTTTTACTTCTGTTGATTGATTTCATTGCATTCTGTGAACAGTCACCAAGTGTCTGCTTTGTGGTTGGCCCTGTGCTAGGCGCTGAGAACCCAGAAGTGAATACAACATATTTCTTGTTTTCTGGGAGCTGTCTGGTGGGAGAGATAGGTAAAAGGATAAATAGATGCAACACAGTGTGACAGATGTTTCAGTAGAGGAAAAGCAGGACTGGAATTGGGAAGAAGTGAACTCTCTTCAAGAGGAAATGAAGAAAAGAAAATGAAGGCCTTACAGAGGAGGAGGAGTTTGATTTAGATCTGGAATGAGTAGAAGTTTCCAGAAACAGCAGCAGAAAGAACAGGATAATGTGGACATGGAAAACCATATAGAAACACACACACACGCACACGCACACACACACACACACACAAACACACTCATACACACACAACATGGGCCAGCTGGACTCATTGGTACATTTTGATATAGATGGTACAGGGATACAGTTAGAAATGATATAGAGGGGGCCGGTGCTGTGGCATAGCAGGTAAAGCCGCCGCCTGCAGTGCTGGCATCCCATACGGGCACTGGTTCGAGTCCCGGCTGCTCCACTTCTGATCCAGCTCTCTGCTATGGCCTGGGAAAGCAGTAGAAGATGGCCCAAGTCCGGCCCCTGCACCCAAATGGGAGACCCAGAAGAAACTCCTGCCTCCTAGTTTCAGATCAGCACAGCTCCAGCCATTGCGGCCATTTGGGAAGTTAACCAACGGATGGAAGACCTCTCCTTCTCCCTCTCTGCCTCTCTTCTCTGTAACTCTGCCTTTCAAAAAAATAAATAAATCTTTTTTAAAAAAAGAAATAAATAATGTAGAAGTAGTGGCCAAGAGCCTTGGATTGACCTGGGAGCCCTTCCATAAGGAAAATCATTGAGGGGATTTCAAAAGTGTGGGGAAGATGGCGTGGTGAGATGACTTTTTTTTTTTTCTCACTCTGATGGCTCTGCAGAACATAGACGGAAGGAGGAGTTGCTAGAGGTAGGGAGACCAGTGAGAAGGATACTATGATAACCCAGGTGAGGGATATTGAGGCATGAGCCTGGGCAGTGGCTATGGGTTTGGAGAGAAGTAAATGGATTAAAAAGGTGATCAGAAGTATAATATAAGAAATGATGGGGGGGGGGGATCAGTCAAGAATTACCCAGATACCTGGTCTAGACAAATGGATTGATGGGGCTTCTACCCAACTTGGAGAAAATGGGAGGCAGGAATGAGGTTGATCAGGGAACCCTTGGTGGTAGATACGAAGTTGGGCTGCATTTTAGGCATTCAGGAGGCACAGGGACTAGAACCAGCCATAGACATCTGGCAGCTGAACCCCTGCGATCTGTACTCCAATCTGTGTGCTGGGGGAAGTCACAGGGGCAAAGGCTGCAACCCTGGGCTTTCATCTGTGTGGATATGCAGACGTGGATGAAATGGGAGGCAGGGACAAGGCCACTCCTGCAAATCATCTCCAACAACAGTGGCTAACAGAGAGAGCCCACTATGCACAAGGTATTTCCCCCTGCACTTTCATATATTAACTAATACATTTCCTTGAGATAGGTACTAGATTAGTCCTACTCTGAAACACCAAGAAATCAGTTGTTTTGCCCCATGTGGTGCAGATAGCAAGTGGTGGACCTGGGTTTGTCATGAAGTGGCAGCCCTGGGACCTTATTCTGTCTGTGTGTGCTTGAGATTTTAAGTACTATGAGGATGCTGCTGACGAATACCGGGACCAGGAGGGGACCCTGCTGCCGCTCTGGAAGTTCCAAAACGACAAGGCCAAGCACCTGGCTGTCACCGCCCTCTGCTGGTGAGTACAGGCATTACAGCAAAGGCAGAGTCCCTGAGTGCCTGCTAGGTGCCAAGCTTGGAGTAATCCTTTCTACTGCATTTAACCACTTTGAGGCGACACATGGCGGTATGGGGAGAATGAGCCTGGAATTCCAAGAGGATTGCAAGATCATCCCAGGTCTCCCAGTAGGCGAAGATCTAATCGGGACCGGAGGTGTCTGCCGTGTAATTAGGCACCAGTGGCCATGGGAAGGCCCAGGCCCATGGACAGATCATAACCATTGCCTGCACCAATGGGTTCATATTTCTTTTGCAGGAATCCAAAGTACAAGGATCTGTTTGCAGTGGGACATGGCTCCTGTAAGTGATCTGGCTGTTCACTTATTGGCAGAGCTCCTTGCCAGGCATGAGAAATACACAGAGTCGGGCACAGTCACTGCCCTCAGGGGGCCTCCCAGTCCAGTGGGGAAGAGCCACACTCACACTGGCAGTCATTGCCAGGCGATGAATGTACGGAGCTGAATGTGCCAACTGGGCCTCCTATGCGTTGCGCTGGTGGAGAGAGAGGGAGGGAACACTGCTCGCAGAGGGGGCAGCATGGGCAGGAAGTGATGCTGCCGAGGGGGCCAGAGTCAGCCCTGAGAAGGCTGAGTAAGCTTGGGCCTTCTCCTGAGGGGAAGCCACAGAAGGAACTGGAAGAGGACAGGTACAGGGCCAGCATAGGGAAGAGCTGCCCGAGGCTGGAGACTGGTGCGGGTATCCCAAGGAGAGGTGGCAGGATGCTACCCACAGCTGTGCTGGGGGCGTGGTGGCTTCTCCTTGCCTCTTGGTCAGGAATTCCAGATCAGACCCTGTAGTGGGGTGGAGTGGGAAGGGGGCGACTGCTTAAAGTTCATTCCCTGGCCCCTGCACCCTGGGGGCCCAGTGTCCCAGCAGCGGGGGCAGCAGCGAAGCAGCACGTTGTGAGTTTGCTTTCCCTTCCCGCTACTCGGCCCAGGGGAAGCCCCTCCCACAGTGCTGGCCGGGACATTCCACTTGCTGACGGGAGAGGGCCCTGCACTTCGCTGGAGTCGCAGCTCCTGCATGCTAACAGCTTCTTTGGCTGGGAGGCTCAGCTTCAACAGAAAAACCTTTCCATTCTCAAGCTGCTGCTGGCTGGCAGGCATGCGAGCTCCCAGTCTCTGCCCCTCCGAGTGCCTGTCCGCCCCATTCTTTGACCCGGGTGAGGGAGGTAGAGGCAGGCAAGGAGGAGCCGGCGTTTGTCATTCCTCTCAGGAAGAAGGCCTTGGAGCTGCTCCCAGGCTTGTGGTCTGGGCTGCCTTTGAGGATGCCCTAAATGCCTGCTTTGTGTCCCCACTCGTGAGGGTGGGCTGCTGCCAAGCGGGAAGCACCGCCCTCTCTGGCAGTGGCCGAGCACATTCCTCCCTCTGCTGCAGCTACTGGGCCTGGCCCAGGGCCTGGGGCGGGCAGGCCCTCCTAGGAGTGGGTGTGGACCCCCATGAGAGTGCTGTCAGCCTGGGCTCCCTGCCCTGGACAGAGGTGGGGGCATGGGGACTCCCCAGAAGGTGGGAGGAGAAACGACTACAGTTCTGACACCATCTCCTCCCAGCCAGGGTCAGAAGCAGGGTCGGCTGGCTGGGGTCATGTGTCGGGGCAGGGTTGGGGGCAGCCTCAGTCAGGAGCAGGAGAGAATAGTTCACTTCCCACGAGGGCAAGACCTCAAGCTGGCCAGGCCCCGCAGCCTCCTCACCCGGGAAGGGTCTCTTTGTCCTTCCTCAGTCTTTTTTGCCTGAGTGGTGCACACAGTCAGCTGCTCCTGGAGGGTCACTGCCCGGAGCTATACCTGGGGCTAGACGCCTCTCTGAGCACAGACTTCTCATTGGGGACAAGGAGAAGCTAACAGCCTGCCAGGTTCCATCTCAGTGCTGTGGTGAGGCACACTGGGGGAAAGGAGCCGAATGTGGCCTGCGAGCAGCCTTCTGCCCCGTCCTCCATGCTTTCCCTAGCAGGCCTGCAGTGCTCCCAGGGCCTGAGTAGCCTCCTTTCCTTGCTCCAGAGAATGACAGAGGGCGGTGAGTCTGGGAGCAGGGCCTAGTGACAGTGCTATTCGCAACTGCTATCCCTGGCACGGGACTTGTTGGCCCGTTTTCCAATAGACATCTATGCTCCAGGGCCCTGTATACCTCAGAACCACCTGTAAGGGCCCAAGCAGAGCCATGCTGGACTGGGGCTCAGAAGGGCCCTGCATCCACTTCCAAGGTCACTTCTGGAAGTCCAATGCTCTTGGGTGCTCAGCACCTCCGCGGAAGAAAGAGGGCAAAACTGAGGTAGGCGGAGGGCACCCTTGTTGCTGGCTGAGGTCATTGTGAGAAGCAGCCTGTCCCACCAGAATCGGTCATACTTTGGAAGCTCCTGTATACTGACTTCCCATAATCAGAATCACAAGGACAAACACTGCAGTGAGAATTTGGATTTGTTGTTGGGTTTGGCCCTGGTAAGTTCAGTCCAAACCTCGTAAACCTTTTTCCTGGAATTCCCAGTGCCTATTCTGTAACACAGTCACATAAAACTTTGGCAGGGGTAGGCGTGTCCCTTAGGAAGGACTGAGACCAATCCCCTGTGGTGAGGGGAGGGCAGGTCGGCTGGAGCCCAGCCAGGAGCAAGCAGGTGGGGAAAGGGAGTCCAGGCAGTTGCCTGCAACAGCGCACAAGCATTCACACCTCCTCCCCTCTATGGCTGCTGGGTATCAGGTGCTGGGCACGTCAGGCTGCTTAAAGGGCACAGATTTGGATGCCCCCTCCGGCCAGGCTCCATGTTCCCAGCAGAGTGGAAAAAGAGGCTGTCAGCAGGTAAAAGCAGGTGGAGGAACACTGGCGGGCGAGCGGAAACTTGGTCCAGAAAGAGACGGCCTGGGGGCTTGTGGGTGCACCCGTGTCGGCAAGGCTACACCGAAGGGGTCCTGTCCGGCCCTTTGGCCCGTTCATGGCCGGGAAGCGGGGACTCCTGCTGCTCTGCAGTCAGGGAGAGTGGAACAGATCCCGAGGCTATCACACAGGAAAGCGGGCAGGAAGCTGCTTAGGGAGCCACATATTGGAAGGGCAGGGAGCCAGGTGTTCCCCCACCCCGGCTTCCCTCTGAGGGGGGCAGCACCCTCAAAAGGATCCACGGGTAGGGTCTGTGTCCCAGCACCAAGCCCATTCCCCCACTGTCCCACCACACCCTGGCTTGTCCCCCAAGCCTTCCCAGGCCAGAGATAACACTCATAGGGATTTAAATCTTTTCTGATCATTTATTTGTCAGCTTCACTAATTAAGCAGTGTTAATTTCATTTACTGAAAATGGAAATTCATCCACCTCATTTCTCCCTGTTCATCCTCCACACACAAAATCCATCACTCGTCGGCTGCAGGCTGTGTAAAATTTACAGGACTAATTATGTTGTCAGGTCTCTTTGTAAATACAGTCCATAAAGGCCACTGTGCTTGCCGGGTTGTAGTGCTAGGGCATTCCCGTTGTTAGTTTAATTACTGGTTAGTTATTTAGGTTCTCAAATGTTTGCCTCATTTTCCCTAAATCAAATTAAATGTCCCGCTTGATGTATTCTGTCTCCAAGGCCTTGCTCTTAGTTCCCACACTGTTTAAATATGACTTCTAATCGAATGAGAATGCCTGGACAAGCCCAGCTGCCTGGGAGGCTGAGCCCGACGTGGCCCCATGGCCCCTGGGCCGTGCATGAGATTGGAGCCGTCTAGCAACCGATACCCTCTGTAGGGGAGCCTTGGGCTGCTTCCCTGCCTGTGGAGATGGTGAACATCCCAACACAAAGGGGGCATTTCTGTTTCTGGTGACCAAGGTGGCAAGGCAGGCTGTGGGAAACTGAGGGAGGGTTTCCTTGTAGACACCAGGGCAGCTGAAGATCATAGCATCCATCAGCCCATCAGCCTGACTTCTAGAGGGACCTGCTTCCAAACCATCCCTGAGGAACAAGAACCACCTCTACGAGCCACTCTCTATGGTTTGTGACGGTGGAGTTTGGGTCCACCTTCTTGGAATGCCTACCAGATTAGTGTCCGGTAGCTGCTGCAGTGAATTACCGCAAACACGATGGCCTGAAACGGTCCCAAGTTCTTCTCTTACAGTCTGGAGGTCAAATGTCCGTAATGGGTGTCACTGAGCTACACGCTGGTGTCAGCAGAGGCCTTGTTCCTTCCGGAGCCTCTGGGGCAGCATCTGTTTCCTCTTCTTTTCCAGCTTCTAGAGGCTGCCCACATTCCATGGCTTGTGGCCCCTTTCCAACCAGAAATCGCATCATTCTGCCATCTGCTCCTGTCGTCACATCTCCTTCTCTGACTCTCTTTCCCTTATAAGAACCCTTGCACTTACACTGAGTCCACCCAGATAATCCAGGATAATCCCCCTGTCTCAGGGTCTTTAACTTAATCGCATCTACAAAGTCCCTTTGCCATGCAAAGTGACATATTTATAGGTTCTGGGGATTAGGATGTGGACATTTTGGTGAGGGGGGCGTGTTCCTGCCTACCACATGCCCCCACCAAGTGCCTCTTGCGTGACTCAGTAAGGGAGTCGTTAAACAGCTGCTGCCTTGGAGCTGGTCCTGGGCTGGACTCATTTAGGATGCCACAGTAAGAGAGGAAGCCTGCTGTTCAAGGCTGGCTCGCTCCCCTTGTCACAGCAGCCTGGCATCTACTTCCTACTGATCACTGATCTGGCTTTAGTCTCATGCCCCAACATGCCCTCTCCCTGCCTGGCGTTCTCTGAGCCCTGAGCCAGGAGCCCAGGGTTCTCTTGATTTGTAGAATTCTCCAGAGCAGCTCTCCACGATTGCTAACCTTGCAGGGGTAAGGTCGTGGAGCTTTGGCCCCCACTGATGGCTGCTGGTTCAGGAAGATATCAACTGTGGCCCTGTTCTGCCAGGGCTGAAAGGGGAAGTCAAAGGTAGGCAGAGCTTTGGTCTATGGTGGAATTGAGCCTCCCATTGCCTCTGCGGCCCCTTTGCCTGGAGCCCAGTTTTCTCAGAACTGCCAGGTCAGACCCTGTTTGTGAGGGGTTTGGTTCTCCTCTCCAAATTCTTGTGGCTCATTGAAGGGGAGAGTTGGGGAGGACTTAGAGATCCCGCAGCAGGACAGGGCCAGCAGCAGGCACCCCTATCAGCAGAGAGAGGCGTGCTGGGCCACACCAGGCCATGCTCCCCCTGTCTTATGGGAGGTTGAGCAGGAGACCTGCTCACAGCTCCTCACAGGGTGGGGGTGGAGGCTCACAGAGGAGATAGCCCTGGTGCCTATCTCCCAGAGAAGACCCTCACGGGCTAGTAGACTGCCCAGACAGTGTGGGAGGGAATTCAGTGCAGCTTAAGAGGGCCAAAGCACAAAGTGGGGAAAAGGAGCTCATTCCCGGCCAACAACCCTCTCCCTCTGTGGCAGGATCACAAACCAAGTTTCTCTCTCTCTCTCTCTCTCTCTCTCTCTCTCTCTCTCTTCCCCCTTTTTTGTTCCCGTTGTTTCAGCTACTTACTGAAATCCTATGGCCTGGAGAACACTCAGATTCCTTCACAAGCCCTAGACTTCATCTCTGCCTCTTTGTACAAAGGAGGATAAGATTAGGGAAATTCAGAACAAACCATCCCAGAGCCCAGGGCCCAATGTTTTGGAAGCCTTGAGCCAGAAGGGGTCCTAGCATTCCCTGAGAATGGCACTGTGGGTGCCCTCGATGCTCATGTCATTCCAGGACTGCTGATGACTTGTTGTTGATGTCATCCTGCTGGAGGGCCAAGCAGTGATATCATTGGGCTGCTGGTGACCTGGGTGGTGACATCACCCAGACAGTTGGAGGACTGGGCAATGATGTCACCCAAGATGAACCTAGCAAAGATATTGCATGGTTACCATTGGTGGTCTCAGCAGTGAAGTCATTTTGGGGCCTCTGGAAAATAAGCTGATGATCTCCTGCTGGAGCTATGGGAGGTCTGCTCTGTCAAGTCTCACTGGTGCACTCGGAGAATGGAGCAGTAAGGTCTCACAGGGGCCACAGGAGCCGGGGGAGGAGTGGATGGAATAAGATGGAGTTGAATCAGGGCAGGTTTTTGTTTTTTGTTCTTCATTATTTTCCTAGTGTGGTTTGGTGAAAAGAGCCCTGAGAATTCAGGAAACATAGTCCCTATCCATGATTAGGAACTGTGATCTTGGTGTCTAGGAGGGTTCCTTTGGTTGCAAGTAACAGAGACTATTAAATCCAGCTCAGGAAAGTGGGGCATATTGTCCGGATGCATATGGCCTGCGAAGAAGGCAGGATCTAGGGCCTAGGGGTGATGGGTTGCTCTGTGTCCCTCTCTTATGAAATCTAGGCTTTTCTGGTGCTTGACTGACCTGTCTCTTAGCTGTTCTCTAGTCCAGAGCCTGGAGGGCTTCTCTTGGCTCTGCTAGTCCCGACCACCACTACCATTAGGTGTAGTGCCCCTCTCCTCCCTTCCTCACTTCTGTGCCCAGACCAGATTGATGCCATTATCAGAGCAGAACAACTTCTGCTATAAAAAGGGTACTGGTGTCGTGTGCCTCATGTTCCTGGGCACACCACTGCTCTTCTCTGGGGCCCAGTTTTTCCAACTGTGAAATTAGTCTGGAAGCCCAGATTCTGGTCTCAGTGATTCTGTGAGTCAGTCACAGAGGTCCCCAATACACAGTTGCTAAGCTAGTCACCCTGATTTCACTGGTCACAATGTCTGGGTAGGCATACAGGGACAGAGGGTACCTGGAGTTTGTCTACAGAAAGTGGGCCATGCTGCTATATACATCAGAGGGCCAGGCCCTGTACCATAGTAGGAGCAAGTGTGAAGGTCGTGCCCACCTTTGCCCCTTGGTGCATTAAGGAGAGCATCTGAGTCCTCGGCCTGTGCATCCGTCACCCACCTACCTGCCACTGTCATTCACACCTTGGCTTACCCTCGCACCACTGTCAATCTTGACAAGCATCAAGGACAGATTGAAATCAAGAGCATCCCTGGCTAACTTGACTGTTGATAGAAATCATTCAGCCACAGGGTCTGATATGTCTCTGTCCCCGCAGGGGCCAGTCCTGGAGGAGGCCGAAATCGGGTGCTCAGGTTTGCTTGATAAACAAAAGCTAAAGAGGGGTCCGATTTTGCGGCATAATGGGTAAAGCCACTATCTGTGACACTGGCATCCTATATGGGTGCTGGTTCGTGTCTCAGCTGCTCCACTTCTGATCCAGCTCCCTGTTAATGGCCTGGGAAAGGCAAAAGCCAGGACCCGAAAGGTCCAAGTGTTTGGGCCCCTGCCACCAATGTGGGAAAACCGGAAAAAGCTCCTGGCTCCTGGCTTCAGCCTGATCCAGAGCTGGCCATTGGCCCAGAGCTGGCCATTGTAGCCATCTGGGGAGTGAGCCAGCAGATGGAAGATTCTCTCTCTCTCTAACTCTTTCAAAATAAATAACTAAATCTTGTTTTTTAAAAGATTTATTGATTTATTTGAAAGTCAGAGTTACACAGAGAGGGAAGGAGAGAGACAGAGAGAGAGAGAGAGAGGTCTCCTATCTGCTGGTTACTCCCCAATTGGCTGCAGTGGCCGGAGCTGTGCTGATCCGAGGCCAGGATCCAGGAGCTTCCTCCAGGTTTCCCAATGAGAGTGCAGGAGCCCAAGGACTTGGGCCATTTTCTACTGCTTTCCCAGGCCACGGCAGAGAGCTGGATCAGAAGTGGAGCAGCCAGGACCCGAACTGGCACCCCTATGGGATGCCAGCACTACAGGCAATGGCCTTACCCACTACACCACAGCACCGGCCCAGATAACTAAATGTTAAAATAAAATAAAGCTAAAGGGGTGGTCACACTTCCCAGTTCAAGCCCTTCCTGTTCTTCCCTCGCTCTACTCAGCAAGCTACAGATCTCTCCCAGGAGCTGCACAGAGTGAGACGCAGTCGGCTCTACCTCACCTATCTCAAGGCCAGATTCCTGCTGGCTCTGAGACAGAGTCAGGCGCAGGGTGAGCCAGGTTCTGCTGCGGGGGATCTGGAAGCCCTCAAGCTCATCCTCTTGCCAGGAGTCTTAGCTTCTCCAGAGCACAAGCACTTTCCTCCCAGTCACTGCACGCCCTTCCCAAGGCTCAAGCTGGACCCTGGCACCTTCCACTCAGGTGGAATGTGTGGCCCCCTGGCAAGTGGTCTGGGGGAGAGGTTCCTGACAGGTGTCTCTCAAGCTGGGGAGGATTGGCCCCTGCGAGGCTAAGTGGGCTCCTCAACCAAGAGCTGCTGTCGTGGGCGTGCCAGCTTCCCCAGCTTCCTGCAGAACTCTTCTGAGGCCAGCCGGGCTCCTGGGGGAAACCTGCTGCCAGTCAGGGCACAGAGTGGTCTTGGCCGGGTGTCTAGCATGGGAGTGCCTGGCATACGGAGGAAGCTGAACTCATGCCAAAAGCCCAGATCGTCCCTGGGCTCAGCCCAGTCTTAACTCTCTTGAGTAAGGGGCAGCCTTAGAATAAGAGAATGACTTAGAAAAACTAGCCAAGTTGGGGCTGCCTCCCATGGGGTCTCAGGACTGGCCAGTTTGTCATGAGGTCCCAAGCACTGCAGCTGCCAGGGACAGAGGAGCTTGGCCAGAGGAGCCGGGGGGTCAGTGAGGAGGACCCTCATAGTAATGGGCCCCCCAAGATGGGGGTGGGATGGGGGCTGCGCTAGCCTTCCACCTCTCCAGCTCCGGCTCTTTGGAGCTTGAGGAAAGGGATAGAAGGGCTGGGGTGCTGGCAGGAGAGCTGCACTCGAGGGCTGTATTCTGTTCAGTGGCTACATTATCTGTCAAGTGTACATAAGGAGTGAGAGGCACTCTGCTGGTGGGGGGCTGGTATGGAGAGAGAGCAGACCTCTGCGGAGGGGTCCGTTGTCAATCACCAAAAGCTATGCCCACGTCGAGTGGGCCAGGTGGCTGGCCTAGAGCTGGGGCACAGGCTGTAACTGGGGTCTCTGGAGACAGGCTGTCCGGGAAGATACTCGTAAGCAGCCAGATGGAAGCTCGCAGTTCTGTTTCAGTTCAAGTTCAACCCCTGCCCTTGGCTGATGGAGAGGGAGCACGTGGGCAGTATTCAGGTGTCTCTAGGACAGCCCACTGCTCCTGGACTGGGCATTTGAACCCCCTCTGAAGGAACTGCCCCTTCCCAAGCCCACACAAGACTTAGCAACTCTTTGAGCCTGCACCCCAGGAAGAAAAGGAGAATGACTGTCTGTCCTTGTGGCGAGCCTGCTCACCTCTATTGCTTGTTGGATCCTTCCCTGGGCCCTGAGAAGCAGGAGGCCGACTCTCCTAATTCCATTCCACAGAAGGAGAAGAGGGCACTGAGAGAGGAACCCTCTGATTGTAGAGCAGGGCTGGGCTCGCTCATCTTGGGGGGCGGGGCAGGGGTGCTTCTCCCGAAGGGTCTTCCAACCACAACGCCCTGTGTCCCCCGGTTAGATGACTTCATGAAGCAGAGCCGGGGCATGCTGCTGCTCTACAGCATGAAGAACCCCAGCTTCCCCGAGTACATCTTCAGCAGCGACAGTGGCATCATGTGCCTCGACATGCATGTGGACCACCCCTACCTGGTGGTGGTGGGTCACTACGACGGCAACGTGGCCATCTACAACCTCAAGAAGCCCCACTCCCAGCCCTGCTTCCGCAGCTCGGCCAAGTCTGGCAAGCACACCGACCCTGTGTGGCAGGTCAGGCCCAGAACCCAGAGTGGGGAAACGGCATCTGGGAGCCACTGGAGGTGGAACCTTGGGAGGACAGGGTCACAGGCAAGGGGACAGGAATGGCACGTGCCAGCTTAGTGACCAAGGAGCTGGGTGTGAAAAGAGGCAGAGAAGGGCCAAAGGTGAGAATCTGGAGGTAAGAGAGACTGGGAGAGAGCCAGGTCCGCTGCTTCCCAGCTTCCACAGCGAGGGCCCCATCTATCTGCCAGGGATCTCTTAGGTGCGGCAGTCAGTACCTCAAGGCCCCAGCTGGGAGCCTCCAGGGCCTGACAGGCTGCACCTGAGTATGTTACAGACTCCAGAGCCTCGTCTAGAAGTTTCCTCAACTCCCCACACAGGCTCTCCCCTGCCATCTGGACTAGATCTGGGGAAACTCCCAGGCGGGGGTGGATGCTGCCAGTTGCCTGCTGTCTGGGTGAGGTCTGTCCCCAAGCCTCCTCTGTCGCACCCTCGTTTCTCCAGATGGGCCTGAAGTAGTGAGTAGGGCCTCTGCCAAGTCAGCCCAGCCTGCGACCGTTACCTTGACACCGGGGCCAGATTTCACCTGACACTGTGTCTCCCATCTCCTCCCCCAGGAGTCAGGTTCACAGCTGCACGCTCAGAGGGTTTCTTAGCTCTGGCTTTTCAGGCCCTTTCTCACTGTGTCCCAGAGCTCCTCCTCCTCCTGAGGCTGTGCATCCTCTGGTTCCGGGAAGCGCTGGCACAACTCAAGGACAGATTTCTGCCTCAAGTTGCCCAGGTCTCTGGGCTCCTCAGCCAGTGCTGGGTCTGTCTTCTCATCTTGCTCTGCCCTCCTGCTCTGACAGTCTGCCGGCAGGCCCTGCACTCCTGCTTCTTCCAGCCCTAAGCACCCTGAGACATGTGGACACCCACCCCAGGGAGGGATGCCAGGACAGCCTCATCCTGTGCCCAGAGCCTGGGCAGAGAGGGTGAGAGGGAGGCAGCACCTCCTCTGCACACCCTCCCCTGCCCCTCCAGCAAAGCAGGGGCCAGAGGTGGCAGCTTCAGGAGTTCTCTCCTCCAGAATGTCCGACTCCTCACCTCCAGGCATTAGAAGACAGCTGCAGACTTTAGATAAAGCCCAGGGAGAGGAGACAAGGCCTGCCTTGATCACACTGACTGCGCCTGCTTTCCCAGCTCAGATAGCTCAGGCCCGAGTTTGGAGCACCTCTGGCTGGCCTGACTCCTCCTCCTTGAGCCCAGGAGAGGGGGAAAGTCCCAGGCCAACCACCCGCTTCCTCCTGTTTTGCTCTCTAAGTCAAATAACAGGTTGGGGGGAAATGATCTTTTCCACTGAGCGGGTCTCAGGAGGGCTGGAACACACCTGAACGGGGTGGCCTCTGCTGCCCCACCATCCTGCCAGGAAAACAGGCTGCTGCTTTTGCCAAATGGAAGGTGTAGGCTGGAATCATAGCATGGGACCAGGGAGGGACCCACTTATCTCTCACTTCCCGTTTCCTTCTTTGCCCCTCATTCCCTGCCTCTCGTTCATTCACTCATTCACCTGTTCAGTGACTGCTCCCTGCTTGCTGCCCTGGTGGCCGAGCATGCTTAAAGGCCTGATCTCCGGTCCCAGGCTGACCAGGACGGGGCCAGGCACTAAGGGCTACAACAGAAGGGTGCCAGACCGGGGCTGGGGCAGGAGAGGTCTTTCCAGGGGAAACAAGGCCTGCGCTGGATTGTGATGGATGAGAAAGTGTGAGTAGCTGAAGAAGCGAGTGAAGGGAGACATATATGCAGTGACACAGGGTGGGGCATCAAGGAGAGTGACCTGTGGGAAGCCACGCCCCAGTGGAGCATCATGGGAGAGACAGAGGGGAGCAGGGTCTGCCAAAAGGACAGGTGCCCAATCAGGACTGCACTTGTCCGTCAAGTTGGACAGTGCAGGTCGGTGGTTTCAAATGAAGCATGGAGCAGCTCTGCTAGGACCAGAGCCCTGCTTGCTCAAGGTTTCCCCGTTATCACTCCTCCTGCCCCCGCGGTACCTCCCCAAGGCTCTTAGGATTTTCTCTGAGCACAGTTTGAAAATCTCTGCCCAACCCCCAGAAGGTTTTAGGCAGAGGAATGACGTGAGCACGTCTGTGTCTTGGAGGGATCCTCTGGTTACAGCATAAGAAATGCTGAAGCCTGAGCTAGGGCAGGGGCAGTGGAGAGAGAAACGAGAAGACAGGGCTGAGAGCTACAGGGGCAGTAAAGTCGATAGAAGGAAATGGTTGACTGGACGTGGGTAAAAGGAGAAGTCGATGCTGCCTTCCTCTAGGGTGCCCAGGAGGCCTCCTGCAGGAGTGGGAAATGGCAGCCGAGGAGCAGATTTGGCCAGAAGTCAATACAAGACGCCTGAGGGACCCCGAGAAAGGAGGTGCTGTTTGAGCCTGGAGTTTGAAGGAGAGCCAGGCTGGCGAATGAGATGACAGAGATAGCAGAATCTAGGTCCTTCTTTGAGAGACGATGTCAGAGTTGTTTTGGTTCTCAAATGGCAGGCTGGGGCAGAAGGAGTTTGTTCTGTTGGCAGTGGGGAGCCATGGAAGGTTTTGGAGCCAGGGAGAGAACTATCTGTTCTAAGAAAACTGGGCTCCTGTCCCAAAGCACAGGCTATTTCCCCGGGGAGCTGGCCTGGGTAGCCTAGCCTGTTCAGGCCCCACTGTCAAACCTCAACCAACAACACTCTGGGAAGGGTGTGTGTGTGTGTGTGTGTGTGTGTGCGTGTGCACAATTCTGGAGAAGGGAGCTAGAAGGATGTTTGAACAGAGACTGGGGTCAGGCAGTCTGCCTTAATCACATAAGGCAGAAGAGAAGGAATCAGTTAAGTGGGCTCCACCTCTGCCCTACTGCTTGGTCCCTGAGCAGTCATCTGCTCACCAAACCCCACTTAGCACCCTCTCCGGCTTGATTCCTACCCTCCCCTCTCCCGCAGGAGCACGTATGTGACTTGCACACACTTACACAGACACACAGGCACTTGCAAATACACACATACCACCCCCCACTGGCCATCAGGCTGCTAAGTGGGGTGTGAAATACAATTTCCATGCGCTGGCGTCTGCTCATTAAACACTTCCCTTTGCAGCTCCCTAGCGCCTCTTACCGCCTGGCCTTTGACAGCCCTTGTCCCCTCCCCGCTTTAATGGGACCACCTTCCCGCAGAAGACTTCTTCTCAGGATCAGGGCCCACTCAGACTTGGGCCTGACATGCTCTGCAGGGGTTCTTGGCCCCCCCAGTGAAAGGACAACAGAGCCAGCCATCCAGGCAGGACTCAGCCCGCCCTCCTGCTGCTCTGATCTCCAAGGCCTGGGGGCCGGTCGGGGAGAGGCAACCCCTTCTCTTCCCCTCAGCCCGCTCCCCAACAGCCATGGTGACAGCTGCGGTTTCGGGCAACAGGCACTGGGTTCCTGGCCGCCCTCGCTGGGCCTCTGCTTGTGACAGGGGGAGGGAACAGGACAGTGGTCCCAGCATGGGCGGTCTGGAGAGAGCTAGAGGATGGAAAGCTCTGGGCACCCAGCCCCTCCCCAGCTCTCTGGGACATGGCTTGGCCAGGCCTCCACATCTGGCAATAGAAACTTGAGCCTCAAGCGTGTCATCTTCATAAGACAACAGCTCTGTCTCCAAAACACTTTCCCATATGTTTGCTTCCAGCCCTGAGAAGACGGGCGGGGCAGGATAATTAACCCCGATTTGCAGATGGAGAAATGCAGCTCAAATCTGGGATTTGAGAGCAAGGTTCTGGGAGCAGGAGCTAGTGGTGAAGTGAAGGTGGGAACAGAGGAGACACTTCCTGGAGGAGGGCCAAGCCTGGAAGACGAGGGGAGGAGAGGGGAGGGGAGGGCGTCTGCTCCTGCTCCTCCAGCCCTCCAGCAAACAGGAGAAAGGCCCCAGGGAACCTTGGCTCCCAGAGTCCTAGGATGATGGTAATAATGAGGACATTAGCTAACATGTACTGCACACTTACTATGTGCAATATTGTGACCACGTTGAGGACTTCACATATATTATCTTAGCTATTCCTCACGACAAACCTATGCTGCTATGACTCCTGTTCTGTAAATGAGGAAGCTGGTTGGCGGACCCTGTCCTTTCTGGGCATCTCTGTGTGAGGTTAAACCCTGAGCCACCACCTCTTCCTCTTACGTAGGCTGCTAGAACCCAACCCAAGCCACTCAGGCAGTGCCCTGCCTGGCACTCTGGCTCCAGCGTGGGAGAGAGTGTTCAAAGCTGGAAGGAGGGAGGGAGCACTCATCATGGGATCCTGAAGAATGGGCTCCTGGAACTTGCTTCCGAGCCTCAGATGGGTGCTTGGGGAAGCTCTGCCCAGCTCACAGCCCAGAGCCCACAGCTGGGGATGTTTCAGGTCAAGTGGCAGAAGGATGACATGGACCACAACCTGAACTTCTTTTCGGTGTCATCTGATGGCAGGATCGTGTCTTGGACCCTCGTGAAGGTACCTATGTCCCAGAGAGGGTCACTGACGGGTGATGGGGAGCGGGGGAGCACCCCTCAGCCCTGCGGATCCAGCCCACCCCTGGGGCCCTCTCCACCCCAACCCTCTGTGACTGCAGAGTGAGCTGATCCACACAGATGTCATCAAGCTGAAGGTGGAAGGCAGCACCTCGGAAGTTCCTGAGGGGTTGCCACTGCACACCGTGGGTAGGAGCCCCAGCCCGCCCACCCTCCCGACTGAGAGTCAAGGCCGTGGCCCTGGGCCCTGCTGAGCGCTCACTGCCCGGCTTGTGCCAGAGCCCAGGCAGGTGGTAATGGGAGAGCCTGGCCCCGCCCGCTGAGCCCGTGGCTGTCCGCAGACCTGCTCCTGTGCGTGCAGGTCAGGTGCTGCGATGCAGATCCAGCCTTGTGTGTGCCGGTCAGGTCCCTGTTTACCCAATTCCTCCCCTGTTTACCCAGACGCTCTCCCTGTTTACCCTGACCCTGACCCTGTTTAACTCAATCCCTTCCTTGTTTACCCAGGCTCCCCTCCCCCGTTCCCATCTGCAGAACCCCTGGCCCTTTGCAGAGTCCCAACTGTCTGGCCCAGTCCCAGCCCTTCCAGGGGCCCAGATTCAGTCTGTCCCGCACTGAGGCCCAGGGCGCGCGCCTGGCCAAGCCCCAGCGCGGGGTAGGGGAGGTGCTAGGAGCTTCCTCCCAGAACTGGGCTAAGGCCGCTCTCTCTTCTGTCCAGGCTGTGGCACCGCCTTCGACTTCCACAAAGAGATTGACTACATGTTCCTAGTGGGCACAGAGGAGGGGAAAATCTACAAGGTGAGGCAGGGCTGCCCTGTGCCAGCTCCTCAGGGCCGCCTCGACCCGAGCACCCTGGGAGCTTCTTGTTTGCAACAGACGCTAGTGCTCATCCATTCTCGAAGTCTTCTTGGGAGAAAAGAGTGCATTTCTTGACCTAAGTGGCTGGCAGCAAGAGGGGCCACATGCAGGAAAGTCATCTAGAGGAAGATTTCTGCCCAGCCCAGCCTCCCTCTGGGCCCACCCAGCCTCCTCCCTTCCTAGGAGTGAAGGTAGAGGTGGGAGTGGGAGTTGGGTTGGATGTGCTGGAACATTCCAGGAAGACTTCCTGGAGGAGACTTGAACTTAACCTGAACTTTGAAGGCAGATTTGTGTGTGAATACCAGGTGCATTCCAGCAGCCAGGATGGAGCCTCCCCGCCACTTGCTGCAAGGTCTCAGTGTTAGTAGGTGACCATCCTGAGCCTCCATCCATCCAGAAATAGCTCTGCTGCAAGCTTTTCTTAGGCTCAGAGACTCAGAATGTTAATTACAGGCAGCCTCCCGGGAGCCCCAGAGGCCCAGCCAGAGCTGTTCTGAATGCAAAAGAGGTCCCCGCCCCCCACTCAGCCCCTCCCAGTGGCAGCCCCAGAGAGGCTGGAGGGAAGGAGAGACCAGGCAGTCCCTCTGGCTCTCAGAGGGAGGGAGGGAGGGAGGGAGAACGGGGCGTGCTGGTCAGGGCAGGAAACTGAATGGGAAATCCAGAGATCAGTGTCTGCTCCTGGCTCTGCACCTGCTCTTCCATGGACAAGGTGAGGCGTTTATCACAGTTGCAAGGGTGATGCCTGGCCTGCAGTTGGACTCAGGGCTCTGTCTGTTCCCAGCCTAGGGCTAGGCCACCTCCCCCTCAGAGACCTGCTCTGCCTGGGCTCAGGGAGAGAGTCTTTTCTGACTGGCCTGCGGACCGGGGTCGGGGAGGGACTGGGCATCTGCTCCCAACTACCAGCCCCTTAAACCCCTGCTTTCTCTCTGGGGGGTGTGGAGAGTGGGAAGAGCAGCCAGCAGTTTGGCCGGCTCAGCCGTGGCAGTGTTGTGGGCTAGGGATGCAGGGAGTCTCGGGCAGATTCTGATGTTCCAGAGCCCCCCAGGGGAGTGGTGGCTGCTGACCTCCCCCTCACGCTGACCCCTCTCCCTGCCCCACCCCCGACTCCCCGCTGCACCAGTGTTCCAAATCCTACTCCAGCCAATTCCTCGACACCTACGATGCCCACAACATGGCGGTGGACGCTGTGACCTGGAACCCCTACCACACCAGGGTCTTCATGTCCTGCAGCTCTGACTGGACAGTGAAGATCTGGGACCACACTATCAAGTGAGGGGCCTGCCCCGCCCTGGGCCCTGCCCTGGGCTCTGGCACCGTAAGCCCTGTGTCATGGGCTTCCCACCCCTCCACCACTGCAGAACCCCGATGTTCATTTATGACCTGAACTCAGCTGTGGGCGATGTAGCCTGGGCGCCATACTCTTCCACTGTGTTCGCAGCGGTCACCACAGATGGGAAGGTGAGTACCCCTTCCTGTCTCCACTGAGCCCCTCCCGGAGAGAGGGTGAAATATCTCAGGGTCCCTCTCCTGCAGAATTCACACCATGCCCAGGACAGGCAGGGGAAGGTGGGAACATAAGAGCCTGGCCCGTACCCCATCAGCAAGGGAATGAGTCATCCCATGATGCCCCAGGAGTGGATGGTGCTGTCCGTGTTGGGGAGAGAAAGCACTCTGGGGGGTGAGATGCCAGAGAGCAGTTATCGCCTCTGAGCCCCTGGGGAGGAGACTGGAGTGTGGCAGGAGCCAGCTGTATATAGCTTAGAGGGAGTGAGCTGTGCCTCCCTGGAAGTATACATGGTGATTTGGAGAAGGGCCTTCAGTGCAGTGACAGGGGAGGGATCCACGCAGTGCTGAGAACTGATGACAACCCAGCAACAATTATTTGGTGAGCATATTCTCAGATGCAAACCCGTTTTTCTTGTGGACTTTAATGTAAACTAAGCAGCCCCTGCTGGCCCACGGAAAATGCACTTAAACATCTCCCGTAGGTCAGTCATCCTTCTCTATCAGGCCCAGCTCCAGGCTAGGCCCTGGTGGTTCAAGAGCCCTGTCCTGGGGTTTACATTCTAGTGAAGGGAAGGACACAAAATTCCCACAGTGTCAAGTGCTAGGGAGAGAATTACAAGAGGGTGATGTGTGAACACGGATGTTCATAGCAGCCTTATTCTATAGCCAAAGGATGGAAAAAGCCCGAGTCCACCAACTGGTGCATGGGTAAGGAAAGTGGAGCATATGCGAGAGGATTATTACTTAGCAATGTCACGAGCTACGACGTGAATGGACCTTGAAAATGTGCTTAGTGGAAGGAGCCGGTTACAAACACCACACACTAAAGATCTATGTGATGTGTCCAAAATAGGCAAATTATTAAGACAGAAAGTAGACTTGTGGGTGCCCAAGCATTGCAGAAGTTGAGGGAACATGGGGGCGACTGCTAACGGGTAGTACGAGGATTCTCCCTGAGGTGATGAAAATGTTCTAAAATCGGTTGTGGTGATGGCTGTATGTATGTGGGTCTATGACAAACCAAGAAGAGAAGACTTTAAATAGGTGAATTTTATGGTATGTGAATTATCTCTCAAGAAAGCTGTTACTGGAAAGACAGAGAAAGAGGAAAGAGGGAGAAGGAGGCAAGGAAAGGCCTGCATGGTCTTGTAGATGGAATGGCCAGGAAAGGATTCTCTGAAGGAGCCATTCAAGGTGAGGTGAAAGACAGGAAGGGGCCAGCCACGTGAAGACCGGGACCAGGAGTCCACACAGAGGGAATGGCTGGTGCCAACGCCCTGAGGTGGCAAGGGGCGTGAGGGGGTTAAGGAACCAGAAGGGCAACGTGACTGGGGCATAGTAAGCAAAGAGGAGACTCCGAGAGCAGGGAGGTGGGCTACAGTAGAGAATCTGGATTTTATTTATAATACCAAGAGAGACCGTGGAGGAATTTACAATTTTTTTTTAATGGGAAGTCTGGCTACTGCATGGAGGATGGATTATACCAGACCAGTTAGGAGGCTGATCAGGTTGTCCAGGCGAGAATCCATAGAGTATGGATTAAGACAACTTCCCATGTCTATGGAGCACTTCCGGGTCAAGAAGCATCTGAACATGCTGCATATATTAACTAGTTAAACCCCGGCTTGGCCACTCACTGCTCATTGATAAAACAGGGATACTAACAGAACCACCTTCTAGGGTGGTTGTGAGGGATGCAACCATCTGACATGCTTTCTCAGAGTCTAGTATAAGCTAAGTGCTCAATACACGGTAGCTGTTATTATCATTAATTCTGCATAGACTTAAAAATTTCTCCTGAGCTCTTTTCATTCAAACTCCCTCAACTACAAGAAACACAGAGACACAGAAGTCCCTGTGCCACTGCCTCCAGCTACAGTGTGCCAGCCACCAGCCATCTGTGGTATCTCCAGAAAGTCCAGGGGCTGGTTCTGCTGAGGCTGGCAACAGCGGCCTCGTTACACCGGAGCATGTTGATGGCCATCTCTCCATAGGCCCACGTGTTTGACCTGGCCATCAACAAATACGAGGCCATCTGCAACCAGCCCGTGGTGGCCAAAAAGAAGAACAAGATCACCCACGTGCAGTTCAACCCCATCCACCCCATCATCATCGTGGGTGATGACCGTGGACACATCACTTGCCTCAAGCTCTCACCCAACTTGCGCAAGATGCCAAAGGTATGGGCTATGGGAGCATGCGCCGTGCTAGAGATAGAGTCTCTAAGAGAAAGGGAAAGGAGCCAGGACTGACCCCCAGGCTTCTGGCTTGGGAGACCCAGGGTAAGGGTAAAGATGGCGTCGTGGCGCATATGAGGAGCTCAGGAGGAAAGCAGGTTTGTGCAGAAACAATGACCAGTTTTCATGTATTGCGTCTGAGTCGCCTGTGCGGCCCCTGGTGGAGGTAACCAGTGAGCAGGTGGACTGAAACAGGTGCGTGCGAAGGCATCCTTGGCTTATTTGGAGCGGAGAATGCGATGGGTACCACAGGTCACCCGGGCAGGGGGCTTGGGGCTGAGCTAATGCATCGTTGCTGGGCTCACACAGGGTTTCGGCTCCAATGGTTCCCGAGCTGGGAGCTGTGGGTCCACAGAGCAAAATGGAAATGAGCCATGAGGATGGTAGTAACTAGGTCAGCAGTTGCGCTGTTCTGCTTTTGAGCTCTGCTTCCTGTTTCTGGGGATGAGACCCTGCTCAGAGACCAAGAACCCCCAAATATAGGCAGCAGCACCCAAAGCCTTGACTTCAGATACCCGACCTGACTCAAGAACCAACCTCACCGCTCAGACCTTAGAACCCAGAGCCCAGTTGTGAGCTGAGTGGACATGGCTTTTTGTTTTCTATTAGGTTCTGGGCTGGGATCAGAGCTAAGCCAAGTTGCCTTAATGACTGTACATCCTGGTTGCAATTTGAGGCACTTGCTACAGTTTAAGACAAGAGCAGGGGCCTGTTTCTAGCAACTACTGACTTCTCCCTAATGTGCCCCTACCAAGGCAGCCTGGTGGGGCTTGGTCTACTTCCCACCATGGCCAGAGTGGCAAGGACTGGGAGTTTGGCCGGGCCTGTAATTGTAGCCAGCTGGGGGAGGGGGTGGACTTGGCTATAAATATTCGGAAGGCTGCTAAGCGCCTGCAGCTGTGGCCCAGAGGCTGTGGTGGGCTTTCGGGGTGGGGGAGTCGGGCGTGGTCTGAATCTCTGTGCTGAGCCCAGCTAGTTGGCCTCAGGGAGGGGGAAGGAGGCAGCACAGTTTGTGGAACAGATGAAATCTGTTCTTAATTTAATAAGGAGAGAGACCAAGCTTAAGCTGGCAGAGCTGGACAACCCTCTGGGAGGGTGATGGTCACCGTGAATGTGAAGCCTGCCTGGTATACCCACTCGGATCCAAGGGGCAAGGATCCCCCAGTTCCACCTCCTCTCTGAGCAAGGGCCAGTCATGGCTGGGAGAGCTGTCCTCCACACACCTACGGACCCACGTCCCTGAGGATCTGACATGGGGACCTGGGGCGTTGGGAACTTGAGCAGTAACAGCTGGGGGCTGGTACCTGGGTAGACTAGAGGTTCTTATGAGATTGGTGATCCGACTCTATCAGTAGCCAAGTGATTCATGCAAAAGTTAAGTCGTCTGAATAGCCCTGCCTTCCCAAGAGCACTTGCCCACAACGCTGGGCTTCCCTGCCCAGGGAGCAGCCAATGATTGGTGTCAGAGCCCAACTTGTCCCAGGTCGAGGACCGTTTTTCCCTACCTACTGTCTAGATGGGGAACTGAGGCTCAGAAAGGCAAGGGCCTTACCCAAAGTCATAGAGGGGGCTTACATTGGAACTGGAACGACAAACCAGGTTCCCCTAACTCCCAGGGGACAAGATGAGGCCAAGGAGAGAACTCGAGCTCAATGTGAGGTGGAAGGGGGCGGGGGAAGGGAGGAAAAGACTCTATCCTGTGTTTCCAGCATGTGGCGGTGAGCTAGGACACGGCAGAGGTGCAGGGCTGCAAGGGGGCTGGGGAGCAGGTGCTCCCAAAGGCTGTCCTCAGAAGCAAAGCTCAGTTCTGCAGGGCGTCAGCAGCCAGCATGGGGCCAGGAAGGTGCCGAGTGGTCCTGAACTCTTTCTCCACTGCACAGGCCAGGCCAGACCCCGGCTCGGCCCTCAGCAGGCAAGGCTGGGGCAGGTGCGCACGTGCCAGCGAGCAGTGGACACAGGGAGCTGGGAGGGTGGGGGCCCAGGAGTGGAGGAAAGACAGGAAATAGCAGCTGCCCAGACTGCCCTGCCATGGCCCATCCCCGACTGCCTGGACAGTAGGGAGGATGGGACTGGGCTGACCTGCCAAGGAGTTCTCAGGGCCTGTGAGCGACACACATCCCAGCCTCCCAACTGCCTTTCTCACAGGGGCCAACTTCCCTGTGGAAGCATGTGAGTGTTCTGCAGACAGTAAGGGGGTCTGCTCTTCTGGCACAGTCCCAGACAATGGCGTCTGAAGTCACACAGGATGACAGCCCATCTGCATTCTGACTTGTCCTGATACCTGCCCCCACCATGACACAGCAGGCCTGTCCCTAAATGGCACCCCACTGCCAACCTCACGGTACTAGGCAAGGGCACCCGTGGCTTTGTGCACACCTGTCCCCAGGCACTCACCTGTTACCTCCTTGATAGGACTCAGCTAGGGACCAAGTTAGGTCCTCCCCTCCCCAGAGCTTCAGCTCACCCTGGCCTGAAAAGCCAGTTCC